CACGTGGGAGGCACTGAGTTCTATCGTCAGCACCACATAAAAAAATACACAAATAAAATATAGACATGCTGTCCATCTACAAATCTACAACTACAAAAAAAATATGCCGATTTTAAAATCTCCATCTGACTCCTGTGTCTTTCCCTCACCCAGCTTCAAATTTGGGATGGAAAGGAAGGTTACTTTGGGAGTCCTTCAAACCCCAAGAAATTGCTGCCATCTGTTGAGCACCCAGTATGCGCAAGGCCCTGAGTCCATACTGTCTTGTTGCATTCTGAAATAGGTACAGTTACTATGTTATCAAAAGGGGGACTCCATGGGAGCAAGGCCTTGTTCCTCATTGATAATATTAGACACTCAGTATTGTTGAAGGAACTTGTTACTTGAATAGAGGTGGGGACTAAAGCTCAAAGAAGTGATGTGACTTACCCAAGTTTACTCAGCTAGTAAATGCAAGGAGGAGGAATTCAAACTCAGATCAGACCAAGCTAAAGCTTGTGCTGCTGCCTACCTTCCCTCAGATGTCTTCCCTCCTGCCCACAGTGGTTCCTCTGGCCTGCCAGGTGCCTGATGCCCAGACAGTGACTCAGGCACCTCCAGGGCAGGGAGGGAATGATGCTTGACTCTGCCCTGCCCAGGATCTGGGGGTGGGGAGGGCATCAAGGGAGGGGGCAGGAGCCAAGTTTCTGGGCCTAAATTAGGACAGATGCTTCTCTGGGGACAGGTAGCAGGGCTTTTGGTATCCTTTGGAAAGGGTCCTCTGACATCTCATAGGAGGTGGGGTAAGGGCCTGGGAGAGACCAGGAGGGACGGCTAAGAGAAAGCTGGGACTGTCATCTGCCAATATGGCTTGGTATCAGAGAGGCAGCCAATCTCCCCTCCTGTCTACTGTATCAGCCAACCCACCCCTGGCAGTTGTATGGCTATCTCTTCTTGTCAGACTCCGAAAGTCATCCCAGTGTATGCATGCTGGCAGGCACTGGCAAGCCTGGGTTAGACTGGGTGTGGTATGGGGAGGTGGCAGCTGGGAGCGCCACCCAGCCTGGCTCCTGGGGACTCTCTCAATGCAGGGGAATGCTTTCATCCCTGATACTTCTAAAGCCAGGATATAATTACCTCCTGCAGACAGACACAAGAGGCAGCTTCCCAGCATTGGATCCCACCCAACAGATTTATTCCCTCACCTCTGCTGTGTCAAGAACATGTGTGCCTCTGGAGCTTCGTCCTCACCATTTCCTTCTGGACTGCCACCTTCCCCTCCCCACCTCACTGTTGCAATTCATTCCAGCTTAGGTCACAGCCATCCGGAACCCATGCAACCCCCAGGACCTCTCCCTCCTCTGGATTCTGCCAGCCCCTACCATCTGTCTCCACCACTCATTTGGCCCTTGGCATGGGCTGCCTTGTACAGTAGCATGTGGCTTCTTATTAATGTCCTAGTTCCCAAACTAGGGTTTTAAATTTTATATGTATTTGAATAGACATTATGTGCACATCCTTCAGGATTCAAAAGGTACCAAAGAAATCTGTGAACTGCAAAGATAAATCTCCTTTGTCTTGTTCTCCTCTTGGAAGACACCACTGTTAACTTTTTTGATAGTGTTTTCTTTTAGAGACATATAAATACCTCTCATGTGTATATATAACATTTAATATACACTGTGTTCTACATCTTGTTTTTTCATTTAACAATCTAGAAGATGGTCTTTATCAGTACATGTAATGATGCCTCATGCTTTTGAAAATATTCCATCACACAGTTTACCATTGTCATTTTAAACAGTTTGCTAATAATAAGTGTTTAGGTTATTTCTAATCTTATCCTAATAAAAAGAATGCTGCAATCTTGAACATACTTCTTTGCACCTATATACAACCATAAATTCTTAGAATTGGAATTGCTGGATCAAAGACCACACACTTTTAATTTTGTTGTACCCCATATTGCTCTTTAGAAAGCATACCAAAGCCTAGAGACATGGCTCAGTGGTAAAGCACCTGTGTAGCATGCACAAGGCCCCGAGTTCAATTCCCAGCACCACAAAGTGACCAGGAAAAAAAGTTAACAGAAATTATACCAAATTACCTGCCTTCCCACTACCAACATACGAGAACATCTGAGCCTTGCTCATATGATGTATTTATACTCTTTGATCCTTGTCAATCATTCAATAAGTAGCTGGATGTGGTAGTACTTGCCTGTAATCCTAGTGACTCTAAAGGCTGAGGCAGGAAGATTCAAAGTTGGAGGCCAGCCTCTGCAATTTAGCAAGACCCTATCTCAAAATTAAAAAAAAAATAATACAAAGGCTGGGGATATAGCTTTGTGGTAGAGTGCCCCTGGGCTCAATCCCTGGTACCACACACACACACAAAAAAAAAGTAAAGTAAGGTATTTCGTTGCACTGTTTGGTTTATTTTAGTACCACAGATTGGACCTAGGGTGGCTTGGCCACTAATCCGCATCCACAGCCCTTTTCTTGTATTTTATTTTGACACAGGGTCTGGCTGAGTTGCTTAGTGCCTTGCTAAATTGCTGAGATGACTTTAACTGGCAATCTTCCTGCTTCAGCCTCTAGAGCCCCTGGGATTACAGGCCTTTGTCACTGGCAGCAGTTTTTGCTTATAATTCTTTTGTTATGAATGAGATTGAGCATCTTTTCATGTATTTTGAAGCTAGTGCTTCCTCTTCTGTGAGTTCTCTGTGCCCTTTGCCCATTTTCAAAATTACAGTGGAGACCTGAGGATGCAGCTCAGGGATACAGCACTTGCCCAGCATGTGTGAGGCCCTGGGTTCCATCCCCAGCATTGAAAAAGATTGCAGTTTGTTTTTTTCTTATTAATTTGTTGAATTTGTGGACAAAGGAAATTAACCCTTTGTTTGCTAGATGCATTCAATATAATTTCTCTTGGTTGTCATTTGTCTATGTCCTTTGACTATGTTCCAACTAGATTTTCATCTCCCTGAGCACAGGGACAGGAACTAAAACCTTTTGAATTTCTACCCTTGTATCATCTCACATATACGGAAGGTGCTCGGCAAATGTCTGTAGAGGTGAGAGAAGAAAGAAGATAAAGACAATGGCTTGGAAGATTTTCAAGTGACCCAGCCTACATTTTGCTCTTATACAAAATCTGAGTCCTCAGTCTTTGGATCAGTCAAGACTCCTGTTGTAAACAGCAGAAAGGAACTCTGGTAAATTTATAAAAGCAACAAAACAACACCCCTTCCCTGCCTCCATAAATATAGTAGCACACAGAATCAATGCAAGAGCTTGAAAACAAGGCTCAGCAAACAGGCAAGCACCAGGGCAAGCTTGGCCACCTGTGTAGGAGATACTTGCCCCTCCACCAACTTCAGTGCCCATGCCTCTCTTACAACAGATAATTGAGGCTGACAGTTTCTTCTCCAGACACTAGAGGCCACTGCAGGCCCCATGGCAGTCACCACCAGGCAGAAATGGATTGTCATCTACCTACACCTGCTGTTTGGTGACTTGTTCCAGATTTAAAGTCCCAGTTACAGCACCTGCTTGGCAGACCTTATATCTTTTGCGTGCCCTTCCCACTGTTAGAGCTGGGAAGTCTGAGAGAGCAAGCCCTGGTGTTTTTGTGGCAGATGGCCATGTGGCAGGGACTGTGCAATGGAAATTCCCCAAATGTAGATGGGAATTTCCCAAATGTAAGCAGGAGGTTCTGGTGATGGACAGCCAGGAAAACTGGACAAATGCACACCACCTTCTTCCCTCATGTCCAGCTCAAGCCCTTATCTTTGATGAAGCATTCCTGGGTCACCCATCTGGAAACACTTTTCTGGACTTATCAACAGTTACTCCTTGAGCCAACTGTGATGACAGAGATGGTTGTACTAATGATACAGAATAGGTACTGTGACCCATTTGACTTTCAAACAACCCTAGGCATTACCTATATTTAAAAGAGAAAAAAGTGAGCCCACAGAGGTTTCCTTAAGTCACAGAGCAGTGTCAGGTTGCAAACCCAGGTCTGTTTCCAAAAGCCCTGGGGATAGGCTGTTATCATATCAAGTTTTAGTCTTCCTTCTCCTTTCCTCTCCCTCTTCCTCTATTTCTTTTATTTTTTCTTTCTTTCTTTTTTCAGTGCTGGGTATGGAACTCAGGGCATCATGCATGCTGCGCAAGTGCTCTACCACAAAGCTATGCTCCAATCCCTGTGTTCTTCTTTATACATGCTGGCAGCATCTAGTATGTAGAAGATCTGCAACTAATGCTTGTGGATTGGCTGTATAGTACCTAGTAAGAGCCATTTCTGGAAGGTTCTCTAACTTTCTCATAAGGCCTGAACCCGAGAATCATTTTTGAGGTGGAACAGGGCTATTCCAACATCGGTTTGAGAAGAAAAACCTTGAATCTGGGGAGTTTCTTTTTACTGTCTCCTATAACCTCACCTCTCCCAAATGTGTCAAACTGTCACCAAGGGATTTGCATCTGTTGATTATTTAATTATCCAACGGATCTTTTGGAACACTGACTACTGCCCTATTTACTAGTGAAAAAAAGGACACAATCTCTGCCCTGTGGAATTTACATTCTAGTGGGGGAGGTGACTGTGAATCAAATAAGCAAACCAATAAATGCTAATTTGTGGCTCTGACAAGCGTGCTGAGGGAAATGCCGCGAGACGCTGTAAAAGGCAGGTCTGACCTACTCAAGGAATGTTAGGGCAGGCTCTTTTGAAGGCCAGGGCTTGGAACAGGGATCCGAAGAAGGGGAGGAGTTAGGCGAGTCGGTGGGTCTTGGAGGCAGCCGTGACCTCCGGGTGAGTTCCAATGGATTACAGAGTGTTACAGCCGAGAGACATCGGGACCAGGGCCAAGCACCTTGCTCGTGGGCTGCTTCTGCCTCGGTTTGCGCGAGTGCATCACGCCTGGATGGACTGCGCTGGCCTCAGCTTCCCAGGTCGCACCTGGGGATGACGTAGCCGCTGTGCTTGCCCAAAATAGCAAGCTCCGCCCCCATCTCCCAGCAGCCCCTGCCGTCGCCCTCCCTTCGGTGTGACGGGTGGAGCCGGCCTTCTCCCAGTCTCTAGTAGTTTCCGTGCAGCTGACGCATGCTTGTCGCACAGCTGGGCCGGGTGCGTCCTACGCAGCAGCCGCGAGCCGTGCCGCCCGTGCCAGACGGTTCCCGGCGGGGGGCTGGGGCGGGACTCCGGCACCGAGGTGCTGCTGGCCCGCGTAAGGCGGGGGCCCGACCCAGGGTGCTGAATTTAGGAGGCTTTGATAGGGCTCCCCGGGCCTGCGCATCCAGATAGCCCTGGGCACCGGCTTGCGGGGGCAGATTAGGCTGCGGAAGGAGTCTCGCTGCCGGCTGCAAGCACCGCCCCGCGGGCTCCGCTACCACCTCCGAGAGCCTCCCTTCCCCGGGGGTCTCCGCCATAGGGAGTGGCTGCTGGTACCCTTTGCCTGACTCCTTCTTTCCTGCAGCCCGGAGAGGCCTGCCTGACGACTGACGAGTTGCCATGGCATCCTACTACGAGATTCTAGATGTGCCGCGAAGTGCATCCGCTGATGACATCAAGAAGGCGTAAGTGCCTCCACTGTGCATCAGAAAACCTCCCACTCCCTGCCCCACCCCCCACCCCCAGTGCCATGGGGCCTTTGAGAGTGATACCTGCAGGAGCAAGGAGACCCCTGCAAGAATAGAAGGAGGAAGTTCAGAGAAAGACCAAGTCGTGCTGGAAGCTACACTGTGGGTCCTTCTCCAGTGCCTCCCTTCCGTCCCTTCCACTCCCCTCCTCTAGATGTGGGCTTTCTCCACATGCAGCTCAAAGATGCCCAGACTCTAGGAGGAGGGTCAGTGTTCTGTGCTGGTCCAGTTAGGGTCAGGGCAGGGGCATTCTCACTCTGGCATTAATATCTACTCATCATGTGGTTCCAGCCCTGGCACAGAAGGGAGAGAGAAGAGCTCCATGAAAAGATGGGAACAGAGCAGCCTCTGCAGCTGGGGTGGGCTGGGGTACAAGCTGTGAAAGGACAGTGGTGGGCTAAAGGAGAATGGATGGGTGCTTCAGTTCCCTGGTGGGAAGAGCCTGACCCTCCCCTTGCACCCACTTCCTGCAGGTATCGTCGGAAGGCTCTACAGTGGCACCCAGACAAGAACCCGGATAATAAAGAGTTTGCTGAAAAGAAATTTAAGGAGGTGGCTGAGGCCTATGAAGTGCTGTCTGACAGTAAGGCCCTGGGTCAGGACAGGGCCCAGCACATCCTTTCTCTCTACTCATGCCCATCAGATTCCTTCCCAAAGCCATCCCTCTGCCACCTGCCTCCATTTTTCAAACTTGGCATTTAAGTGCCCCCTTCCATAGGAAGAGCTTTGTCTCCTCCCTACTGTCTGGAGAGTGGCATGGGTCCTGACCTGGGAAGGGAGCAGGACAGGTGACCAATGTATTTGAGCCTCCTCCGTGCCAGGCCTTGATAATTTCCATGGGTCCTCTCGGGCAACCTGTGAGGCAGGTTTTCTTACTCCCATTTCATGGCTGAGAGAGGTGAAAAAACTTGCTCAGGGTCTCACAGAGCTGGAATGAGTCCAGGTGTGCCTTTTATGTTTTGTTCTGTGGTGCTGGGGATAAAACCCAGGTCCTTGCACATGCTAGGCAAGTACTCAACAATTGAGCTACACTCCTGACCCTGAATCTGTCTTTTATTCATTCATTCGAAAACTATTGATTAGAATTTTACAGTGACAGGCACTAATTGGGTACTGGGGCGGACAAGCAGGCATTGCCCTTGTCCTGAGGTCAGCAAAGATAGATAATAATCACAGAGTTGTAGCTTGTGAAGAGCATTTTGAAGGAGAGTAGCAGGGTGCTGTGGTAGGGAATAATGGGCACCTGGGTTTGTTATGGTGGTCTCAGAAGGTCTCTCTAAGGAATTGACATTCAGGCTAAGTTCTGACTAATAATTACATAGTGATAATTAGCTGATGTTTATTTTTTGCATTGCTGAAGATTGAACCCAGGGTGCTAGGCAAGCGCTGTATCACTGAGCTATACCCCCAGCTCCTACCCAACATTTATTGAGCGCTCGTTATGTGTCAAGCGTGGTGCTAAGCAGTTTACATAAATTATTTCATTTAATCCTTGCAATAGCCCTAGGAGGTAGTAGCTATTGTCCATTTTACAGATGAGGCACCAGCTGTGCCAAGGGCTAAACCCATAGCCTGCGTGCCCTGAATACCCTCCTGCACTCTGCTCCCCAAAACTTCAGTCTCTGGGCAATCTTTTGAGGGCTATGCTAGCTTGGAAGGGTGGGCCATCATCCCAGAGGGAGGGAGAAGTAATCAGGTCTCTTTTTTCAGAGCATAAGCGGGAGATCTACGACCGCTACGGCCGAGAAGGGCTGACTGGGGCAGGTAGGCGGGACCTGGGGATGGAAGTGGGTCAGGGAGGAAGGGGGAGGGCAGAGTCCTGCCATGAAAAGCTTTCTGTGAGGCTCCTGGCCATGCCATTGGTGGCTTCTTTGTCTTGAGGTGAGACACACACCCTAAGCTTCCCTCTCATGCTGTGTCTCCTCCAGCATCTGGTCCCTCTCGGGCAGAAAGTGGTGGTGGTGGGCCTGGCTTCACCTTTACCTTCCGAAGTCCTGAAGAAGTCTTCCGTGAGTTCTTCGGGAGTGGAGACCCTTTTGCAGAACTTTTTGGTGAGTGGACCCAGATGTGCTCAGAATGGCTCAGCTTCCCCTTTCAGGCCTGACCTCTGTCAGCTGGGAGGCCCTTAGGCAGGAGACTGAGAAGCTGAATTCCACAGGCAAAAGATCTTGTGCAGTGGGTGTGTGTCCAGTGAGAGCTGGGACAGAACCTTACACATGCCAGAACTCATGTGACCCACTAGTGACACTTTACAGACTGGTCTTATTAAATGACAACAACAGTAAAACATTGTTAGACTTCCACAATAACAGCCATGAGAGCAAGACTCAAAGTATCATGTGACAATAATAGTAGCATTACCCATAACAACATATACTAGGTTTTGAAAGATTAATGTCAAGTATTTTATATCCCCAGTTCTCTTCTGAACCACCTTAGAGGTGAGTAATTTTAATCCCCATTTAAAGATGTATAAACTAAAAAGAAAGAAATAAAAATTGATAAACTGAGGCACAGATAGCTTGCTTAAGAGTCACACAGCAAATGGCAAAAGCCAGGACTCCCTGCCGTTCCTGCCTATCATCACATCATCCTTAATTGCCTATGTGGAAGGAGCCATCTGCCCTTCCTTTTATGTTTCTCCCTTCCTTCTTTCCTTTCTTCCTTCATTCCTTCCAGAACTGGTTGTTCTGGAAGGAACAAAGGAAGAACAGAACTAACCAGTGAGGATTTTCATATACTACCTTCAAAAGGAACTTATTTTGTGAAGAAGTTCAGCCAAAAACAACAAAAAATCAGAAAAGTACCCAGTTGCTTAGCAGTTTGTATTTCTAGATTTATAAGCTAAGTTCACACACTTTGGGGGGAAATCTGCTCCCTAGTAACGGTTGATCTGTTTCTTGTTGCAGATGACCTGGGCCCCTTCTCAGAGCTTCAGAGTCGAGGCACTCGACACTCGGGCCCCTTCTTTACCTTCTCTTCTTCCTTCCCTGGGCACTCTGGTAAGTGTTGTCTCTTCACACTTTTGGAAGCTCTGAGTCTTGGAATCTCTACCTCATCTTGTCACTTTTTCAAGCCTGTGCCCTGTATGTAGAGTCCTGCTCTGGGCAGCTGTATGAGAGGCCTGAGGTCCTTGGCCTTTGGTGTTTTTGTGGCAGTCAGGGCATAGCCTCCCCTAACAGCTTCTCCTCTGCCTCCTTCATCCCAATGCCAGATTTCTCCTCCTCGTCTTTCTCCTTCAGTCCTGGGGCTGGTGCTTTTCGCTCTGTTTCCACATCCACCACTTTTGTTCAAGGACGCCGCATCACAACACGCAGGTGAGAGCTCCTTCTAGGGCCATGTGGGTGAGAGGTCTGAGATTGAGGGGTGGAGGTGAGAGCTGTGTATACCATAGAAAATCTGCCCTGTTCACTGTGGTGGCCAGAGTCTCTACCAGAATTGTGCTGTCTCCCACAGAATCATGGAGAACGGGCAGGAACGGGTAGAAGTGGAGGAGGATGGGCAGCTGAAGTCAGTCTCCATCAATGGTGAGGAGTGGCTCCACCACCCAGAACTTGCAGGAAGATCAGCTCAGCCCCTACAGCCCCCTCCCCATATGGCTCTTCTCTGAACTCCTGTGCGGGCTGGGCCCTAATGTCAGCCACAGGCCAGATTTTCAGGATCAGAGATGGCCATGAGAAGGGGAAAGAGTAAACAGATCTCAGCAATACAGCTAATCACTATCACATTAGTGGAGTGCCTTACATTTACAGAGAACTTTATAGTTTTAAAGCATTAACACATATCCAGTATCTCCTGTATTTTTTTAAAAAATATTTTTAGTTGTAGATGAACACAATACTTTTATTTCATTTTAGTGCTGAGGATCAAACCTAGTGCTTCACACGTGCTTAGACAAGCACTATACCACTGAGCTACAACCCCAGCCCTCTCCTGTATTCTTAAAGCATCCATGAGAACAAGCAGAGCAGGTGGTATTTGCCTAATTTTATTTGAGGAGATCAAGTCACAGCATGGTTAATGACCCTGACTTTCAAGTAGCTCCTTGTGCAAGATTCCTTCCTATCAAGCAAGGGATAAAAGGAACCAGTAACCAAACTCTGGGTGCAGGATTCCCAGAGCAGACGCCACCAACCCTGCTCCCCTCCTCCCCATTGTAACCCCATGCTTGTTGTCTTAATTAATCACTGGAATGATTTGCATATGTAGGCTTGATTGCATTCCCATTGCATAGGTGAGAAAAGGGAGGCCCAGGGAAGTTTCATAACTTGCTCAAGGCGAGCCCTAGGGGCTGATGCATGGTGCCCAGTCCTCACCGTGTGAAGGGATGGGCCCCGAGTCTGGAACCTCATGTTGGTGGTGACTCTTGCAGGTGTCCCAGATGACCTGGCCTTGGGCTTGGAGCTGAGCCGTCGGGAGCAGCAACAGTCAGTCACCTCCAGGTCGGGGGGCATGCAGGTCCGGCCAACCCCTGTATCACGTCCCTCTGAGAGTGACCTCTCTGAGGATGATGAGGACCTGCAGCTTGCCATGGCCTACAGTCTGTCAGAGATGGAAGCAGCTGGGCAGAAGCCGGCAGGTGGGCGGGGGGTGCAGCAACAACGGCAGGGGCAACCCAAGGTCCAGCACCAAGATCTGGGTGTGGGGGGTACCCATGAGGGTGCAAAGGGTGAGGCAACCAAACGTAGCCCGTCTCCAGAGGAGAAGGCCTCTCGCTGCCACATCCTTTGAACACCAGGCCCAGCCTGACTTGACTCAGGTCTTGACTTGAGGTCCGGCTGTCAGGAGAGCTGAGTGGAGCATGGCCTGAGTTAAAGCAGCCCGTGTCCCTCCACATTTCCCTCCCAGGCCTGCTGCACTCTGGTGTTGTGGATTTGGAATTTATTTGCTCAGCCTGGGGCTGATAGGTCCCTGGGTGAAGCCCAGGGTCGGGGCATCAGGGCTGTGGAAGGGGCTGAGGATGAGCCCAGATTCACTTGCTGAATGGGGAGTTTCTGAGTGGCATTAGTAGTTTGGGTTGGGCCTTTTGTGCCCAGGTTTTCTGCCACCTGTGTTGCCAACTGTGTCAAGGAAGGAGGACTTGGCCTGGGGTGCTCTGAGCCGAGTTGGCAGCTACCCTGGGGAGCAGTGCAGGCTGAGCGGCGTCTCCGCTCTGTGTCCAGCTGCAGCCCCCGCTGGTTTCTGTGCAGTGTTGAGCTCTGACTGTCTCTGTGCTTCCCTTCTGTGCTGCTCTCCTTTCTCCTACTCTGCTTTCTGCAACTCCCTGCGGGCCACATCGCTTGCTTTCACTGCCGTCTGGCTAGGACTCCCTTCTTCTTCCTTCCCCGAGAAGCCTCAGTGTGCCCAGGAAGATGCTGGGGCCATTGGGGCCATGAGGTCTTCTGGGGAGGCTAGCGGGGTGGGGCGGGAGCCTCTCAGCCATCCAGATTTGGAACCGGAGTCCACTCCTCCTCCCTTCCTCTTGCTGCCTCAGCCTGCCCCGGCCCTGGGACTAGGCAGAGGTGAGGCTGGCTAACCCTGGAGAGGTGGGGTAGGGCCAGGTGACCCAGGGGGAGGCCTAGGTGGGGACTGGATCCCATACTACTTTCCCACCATGCATCAGGGCTCAGGGAAAGGCCACAGGGCCAGCCCAGGTGTGCATGCTTGGCTCCATCCTCCACAGCTTGCTGCTGACCCTCTCTCCTGTTACCCGCCCCCGCTCTCTCCCCAGATGTGTTCTGAGCTGGATGTCCAGGATCCACAGTCGCTGCACAGTTCCAACAGGACAGCATCCTCCCCCAAGCATTGGGAGGGGACACTCCATTCCTCTCCCTCACCCATCCTGAGTGTAGAACTGGGGCCTGGGTAGTGGGTGGGGGTCGGGTGGGAGGCATCAGTAGTCTTAGCCTGTGAACTCTCTAACCTGAGTGTTTGCTGCTGTCTCTTGGGGACTACTAGTCCTAGAATGCAGTGCACCCGACCACCTTCCTGCTCAACATAGCCAGGGGAGGTGGTGCGTGGTTACAGATCTGTGCTTCTTGGAGTAAGTAGTTCTGGCGCTGGCCAGCTTGTCACTCGCTCTAGACTGGGAGATCTTGTCTTTTGATTTGTTCCTGGCAGGCTAGAATGTGGATGAAGGGGGAATGACCTGAGCCTCAGTTCCCCTGACACCTTGCTGGCCCCGGGGTCAGAGTGGGCAGGTCAAGGACCTGCAATGTCTGAAAGAGGTTCTTTTTCTGCAGGCAGACTGGGGTCTGAGGAACAAGCCAGGGGGGCAGCAGACTGAGGAAGCAGGGCATGGCCATGGAAGGCTGATGGGCGTGGGCTGGCAGAGCTTGGAAGGGGAGGCCACCCTAGCAGCATGTGACAGGAACGCCAGGCATGCTGCTGCTTGAATGTCTTTCTTTGGCCTCTGACCCTGCTACCCATTCTTTCTCTCCAACATCACAGACGAGCTGCCTCTCCTCCTCCCTGCCTGGGGAGCCCAAGGCTAGGGAGGGGACTGCTGGAGTGGGGTGTCATCAGCCCTTGTAGCACTGAGCCTCAGAGACCTATCAAAGCCAGCTGGGCTGAGCTCAAGACAGGAGGGAAACTGGAAGTCAATAAAGCTGTTTTGAGAGCTTGGTAGTATGCTGTGTTCCTTCTTTCCTAGGTGGCTCATGAGGAACCCTGTGGGACGAATGGGTGACACCTCAGGCCTCACCTCCTTTTTGCCCAAACAGCTGCAGGTGCAAGCCTTGCCAGTTGCAGCAGAAGTCTCCTCCAGGTTGACCAAATTGCCCTCCCCAGTTTGTGGTGGGGCCCTGAGAAATGCTTACATTCTTGGCCCTTTCCTCTTGAGGTCCCACAATCAGTTTTCCCCATGGTGGATATTCCTCTTACAAGGGAGCCACCCACCAATACTGCACAGCACAGGCACAGTTAGGACCAGATTAAGTTAAGACTGGAAGCATGAGAGCCTCAGGAAGCCGAGGACTTTGGTGAAAACTTTAAGCCAGACCTCCAGGTCCCTTTACTAAGCCCCTCAGCAGGGTCCTTGCCTCACAGCAGAGGTGTGAGCCAGGGTGTCTAGAAGAGTAAGAGTCCTCCCATGCAGAGCTCAGGCCCCAAGCCACCTGGGTCCAGGGAGCAGAGAGCTGGCTACCCTCCCCATTCTCCAGCCATGGCATAAGCACCTTTGCATTGTGGTGCAGGGCAGTGGGACCCGCCTCCATGCATTCTGGGAGAGGCTCTTAGCTTTAACTTCGATAGCCGAAGGGCCTATGATGTATTTTCTTAAAGAAGTAGCCTCTATCCTGAAAGAGTCTGCCAGAAGTTTTTGAAAGTGGCTGTTTTCACTGCTTCCGCCCTGAGATGTTGAGCACATTGGATTGTACCTTGGCAGAGTGGACGGACAGCAGGGGCCTGTGTTGTGCTGGCTGGTCCCTTCACTTCCCACTCTGGCAGATGGTATTTGCTCTGGGAGACTGAGCCTCTACATGGGTAAGTGGTCCTAACTCCTATGTGGCCCAGGCCTCAGGCTCTGTGTCCACCATCATTGTCCAGGGGCACCTCTTGGCACACAGGTGAGGACTGCTGGGAGAAGGAATGCCTCATAAGGGAGGTACCTGGAAGCTGGGGTGGGACAGAAAGGGAGAAGAATCCCCCCTTGCCCCACCCCCCCCAGGTAAAGAGGTCTTCCTGGCACCACTGTCAGAGTTTGCTATAGAGTGACCTCTACAGGGCCTAACCTCAGTCCTGCACCATATGAAAGTTATTCCCCAGGACAAAGTGCCCAAAACAGCTGCCCAGACTTGAGAGGGAAGGCAGCAGGGAAATCAAGCTGCTGGGTCTGGTCCTAACTCTACCACTTACAAGGATGTACCACCTGGGCCAGGGCCATGCTGCAGCCTCTTCATCTTCGAAAGAGGCTAATCCTGGGTGGTGGCTTGTGAAGATCAAGTTAATAAACGTGAGACACCTCGGAGACTGCCAGCCACCTAGAAACAGGGTAAACAAGGACTGCCTGGTGGTTATGTACGCCTAACACACCACTGATCAGACGGAGGGAAGCGAGCCTCCAGGCTGCAGTGTCCCATCCTCTAAGGAGAGATGGAAAGGGCTCAGCTGGGACCAGGGCTGAGGCTGGTCTGGAAGCAGAGCAACAGAAACACGAAGGAGTCAGGGTTGCAGCTGCACAGACAACACTAACTTTATTCACATTGATACAAAAGTAGATTTTTCTAGAAATGCTCTCTTGTGCCAGAGGGAGAGAGGTTGATTGGCACATGGCGGGAGGGTAGAGAGAGGAGGCCTGGGGGCAGGGAGGAGAGTCCCCTTGTGGGGGTCAAGGTGGCAGGCCAGCAGTAGCAGGGCTGGGAAAGCTGGTGCACCCCACCCTGCTCTGTCCACACAGCAGGCCAGGGAAATACACGGAGGTGTCAGGAGCATCCAGAACCACAAAGGGGCCAGGGAATTCAGGCAGGAGAAGGCTCTGGGTAGGCTTGCTGCCCACGGCCTCTCCTCTCCTCCTGGCCACTGCCAGCTCCCCCAGGAGCTACCCCAACTCTGGCATGTGTGAAGCTGGACAGGCCTGCCCTTCCCACTTCTCCTCCCTTGCACACTGCTCTTGGAAGGGCTGGGTGGGCCCAGAGGGACCAAGGTGGTGGGCTAGGGCTGAGGAGTAGATATACAGATAGATGCTCACACAGGCAGAAGGAACGGAGGCTGGGCTGCCCACTGGGGGGCGAGGGAGTCTCACTGGGGTAGGGCCTTGAGGATGGCGTTCACCTCCTCTGCCACAGCTGTCAGGGCAAATTCAAACTGGTCCTGGGGAAGGGCAATGACAGGAGAGTCATGGGGAGACCTGGTCTATGTTTTTGCCCTGAGGGGTTTTCCACAGATGGGGGTACTGGGCAGGTTTCTTGGGAGGAGAGCCTCCTAGGGAAGTCCAGAGGTAGAAGGGAGAAGCAGGCTGCTGCTGCTGTCCCCAGGGTGGCTGACATGGCTGCTAGGGAAGGGTGGCAGCTAGAGTCAGGGCAGGAAGGCACAGTCACCTTAGAGCGGACAAGGCCAGGTCGCTGGTCACGGACATGTTCCAGGGTGGCAGCAATGTCAATCTCTTTCACTCCTGGAAAAAGGGTAGAACACCAGGCTGCAGGGGTGTCCAGAGGAGGCTAGGGCAAAGAAATCCCGGGGCATCCAGAGGTGGGGGTGGCGTGGAGGAAGGGGCAAAGCCTGAAAGACTGCTCCTCCATAAGCTCCCAGGCACCTGGTGCTGGGGAGCCTCAAGCCACCGCCCTAGAGCTTCGAGCACTGTGGGGATGGTCCTTACCTTTTGCCATGCGGTTCAGTACCATGTCAATGAGGATGTAGGTGCCAGTCCTCCCTGCACCATCACTGTAACAGGAGGAATTGTTGACAGGCTTAGCAGAGGGGCGCAGCAGAATGGGGGAGAGGGGTGGAGGAGGCCTGGAAGTTTGGGTTGGAGACAACACTGGTTGATCCATTAGGGTGGGCCCGGGGAGGGTGCTAGTGAGCCACGGATGAGAGAAAGGTCATAGTGCCTGGGCCCTGGGGCTTGGGCCAAGAGAGGGGAGCCTGTGAACTGTGGGGTATCCCTGGGCACTGGGACAACCCAAAAGGAGAGCCATAGGTCAGTCCTGTGGAGGAGACACCAGCGGGTGGGGGGAACAGCCCTCCCTAACCAGGGGCCAGGCTTTTGTTTGGCCAACTTTCTGTGGAAAGGGTCACAGAGAGTCTCTGTCACATTCTTTTTTTTCCCCTTCAACCATTCTTAGCTCACGGGCCACTAAACAAAAAGACTAAAAACAGGCTGTGCCAGATTTAGTCTGTGGACTAGAGTGTGCCAGTCTTCAGGGGACGGGCCGGCAATGTGCATGGGAGATGTACAGAGGGAGCAAGGCCAAAGAAGGATGGGACTCAGGAAGACTCCAGCCTGGGGACTCTCCAAGCCTGGGCTGCCCTGCACTTTTTGTCCCCACCAACCTGCAATGCACGATGATGGGGCAGGAGCGGCCCCGGTAGCACTTGTTCACCTTCCTGCAATGAGAAATGGCTGTGAGCACCACTGGGCACCAGCAGTGAGGAAGGGAGCCCAGAACATACCTGTTGGCCTTATCGTCTGCCTCCTCCCACCCCACCCCATGGCCAGGGCAGTGGGAAGAGGGTTGGAGAAAGAAGTCAGGGCTGGAGGCAAAGAATCAAGAATTTGTGTGGGTGGCACTGGGGTTGACTTGTCACTTAAGAGCTATGTGTCCAAGCTATGTTCCTGGATTTAACCTCTTTGAACCTCAAATTTCTTACCTGTAAAGTGGGTGATATAATAATAGTAATCTTTTCCTTAGGGTTCTTATGACATAAGAAATCTATGTAAAGGACTAAGTGCAAGATATGGCACACAGTGGGTGCTCAATAAATGATAGCTACTAATCATGACAACACACAATAACATTAATAGCTGCCTCTGCCAGAATCCAAGGGGTAACTTCTAGGGCATTATTCTGCTCATCCTCTACAAATACCCAGACCACACCCCTCCTCATTCAGACTCCTAATGGTCATCACCAGCAGTGACATCAGGTCACACTGGTCACACACTTCCTCTGGCCAAGGGAGGAAAACCACTCATCTCTGAACACTGGGTTGCCGCCTGTCTCCCTGAATCAACCTCACCTCTGCCCGGGCATTCTATGTCTGGGTTATATTCAGGCTTAGGGTCCACTTGGACTTTGGATGCTTCTCTCTACCCTTGACCACAGTTCAGCAAAGAGCAGGGGTTTCTCCCTCCCTCAGTGGCCTTATCTAACCTTCCATCATCCCTTATAACCTTCTGTCTTTGAGAGTCACTGGCAGACTCCTAATACCCTCAGGATAGGGAGGAACTTCTTAGGGGTCAGATTGTTTCAGGAGGAACTTGGGACTTAGTGATCCTCCAGCTAAGGGACCAGGGGACTTTGAATGGTTTTACAGGAGTCCATGTGGCTTTCTAGCATACTGGTGGGTGCATCAGAAGGCTGGGGTTGAATGGGGGTCACAATGATTGTTTTCAGCTGGTTCATAATAATGATCATAAATAGTATCTGGAATTAACTGAGTCCTTGCTTTGTACAACTAGATTTTTACATGTTTGATCCTATTAAATCTTGTAATAGTCCCCTAAAGTATGTGTCATCAGCCTCATTTCACAGGTAAGAGAATAGAGGGAGGCCAAGAAACTTGCCCAGGGTCACTTTCTAGGACTTCCTTTATTAATTTGCCTTCCCTCTGGTGGGCCTTCACCAAAATGATTAATTTGTTCCGGATGTCTCATTCCAACCGAATTTGCATAATTCTAGCCTAGCTTACAAACCTTTAGCTTATATACGCAGCCCTAAAACAGATCGATGTAAGGTCCTATCAGGATTTTTAACTTTTTTGGCAGTGCTGGGATGCAACCCAGAGCCTCACACATGCTAAGCAAGCACTCCACAGCTGAGCTACACCCTCAGCCTGATCAGGATTTTTAAAGGTCAAAAATGGAAATAGCTCCAACACCCTGGCATTGCTTTTTAGATATGCTCCCATCCAGGGACTCTAGTTGTCCTCATGTTCAAAAAGTATACCCAGGTCCCCACCCTAGCTCTGAT